TTTTGACGATCCCGAGGCCGGGCGAGGGCCCCCCGAGGCCGAAAATGGCCAGACTCCTCCCGTCCCGACTTTTTCGCGAAGCGATCACGTCTGGGTCGGGGGGTCGAGCGCACCAAGGCGGGCGGGCGGGGGCCGCGCGGGGGGAGGCGGGGCCAGGAGCCTGGAGTCCCGAAACGGTGCGGTCACAGACCGCGCGGTGACCTCGAAGTCCCCCAAGACCCCACCGCACGGTCCGTCGCCGCACGGCCTGGGGACCCCTGAGAGCCCCTACTCGGCTTAGACGTCCTCGGAGAGAACGGCCCCGAGCCCCAAAACCGTGCGGGGACCTCGGAGCCCCGCCGACCCACTGCACGGTGTGGTCACCACCCCGGGGGGCCCCCGAAGGGAGAGCCGCCGGCGGCCCGCGCGGAGCCCCGGAGGCCCGCCCGGGGGACGCCGGGGGGGGGGGCGAGGCAGGCCACCCGCAGGGGGGAAGGGGGGGGTGCGGGGGGCACGACGGGGAGGAGCGGGGAGGGACGAGCGGGGAGGGGCCGGGCCAGGCGCGGAGCGCGCCGTGGAGGTCTGCGGCGTGGGGAAGACTGGCCGCCGCTGGGACGTCCGTGCCGCATGTGCTTTTGTCGGTGTCGTGCGCGGTTCCTTCGCGGGATGATCGAGGATGCGCCTCGACGGTCCTCGCCGAAGGAAGCATGCACGCGCCGGAGCGGTGCCAAGAGAAGGGGCCCTGAAGGGCCCCGTCATATGGCCCCTCGCCTGCCGGCTCCAAAAGGGGCCCTGGAGGGCCCCTGCGGGGCCCGTGTCTTCACACCGTGGAGGAAGAAGCGGCTGCATGAACATGAACATATCGCATAAACGTATACCTGGGCTCCCTCCCTGGCGCGCGGAGCGCGCCAGGGGCGGCGCCAGAGGCGCCGCCAGGGGTCCCTAGGCGCGGATCCCAGAAATCCGCACGGAGCGTCGCAAGTCAGTGGCGTTCCTGCTTCTTCGACCTCGTGTCCCCCCCCAATGCCCCCCCCGCCCGACGCCGGTGCTTCACGCTGGCTCCAGCCTCCGTCCTCGTCGCTCGTCCTTCCCATGGCTCGGCGCGGAGAGAAGAAGGGCCCCCAAAGGGGCCGAGTGTTATGTCGGGCGTGTCCCCCTATAGGGAGATTTTCGACGAAAAAAAATATCCCAACAATACCCCCAAAAGGTCAAAAAATACTAAAAAAATAGTCCCCCGACTTTTTTTGGAGCATTTTTGGACTATTTTGTTTTTTTTTTCGTCGAAAATCCCCCTGTAGGGGGACAGGCCCGACTTAACTCTACTACTAAAGGGCCCCTTTGGGGCCCTTTCCTTCACCCCCCATTCAGGTCACCCCCCATTACGAGACAAGCGCGTGCCGCTACTCGCGAAGGAACTACTCGCAAATGGCCTGGATCCGCCGCGGGGGATCTACGATACATTACATCGAGACGGACATGTTTTTTTTCGGACGTTTGCGAGTAGGCGCTTTGCGAGTAGTGGAACGCGCTCGGTGAATTACGGTCGACCCGTGCCGTAAGGACGCACGATAAGGGTGCAAGGCCCCTGGAAGGCCACTCCGGAGCTTCTCGAGCGGGGTGCGGCCCGCGGAAGTGGCCAGGGACGTGCCGCCAGGGGGCAGGGGTGCCAGGGCAGCCTTGGAGAGGCTGCCCATCCCTACTGCGCGGGTTGCCTGCAGCACCCGCCCGACGCAGGTCCTTCACGCTGGCTCCATCCTCCTTCCTCGCCGCTCCTCCTCTGAAGGGGCCCTGGGACACACACACACACACAAATAAACACACACTAATAACTGGATTCCCCATCTGTTCCCATATGTTCTGGGTTTTTGTTTGTCTCCCCCCCCACTTCCCATACTTTCCCATACTTTCTGGGGAGTCGAGGATTAGTGGTGCCTGTGTTTTTTCCTCTCCTGATCTCGGGAGCGGCCAAGAGGGGGGTGTCCAAGAGGGGGGGGTGCAAATCATGACCGGCGGCATGTGCGCGGCCCAGGGGGGGGCCCAGCGACGTAATGAAATAAGAAGGGGCGCCATGAAATCTGAGGAAATATCATGGCCCCCGCCATGATATCCACCCCCCCCTAGTCATCCCCCCCCCTCTTTTCCGCTCCCGATGATCCTCCTCCCCCGGCTCGGCAGCGAGCGCCCGGGAGGGAAGCGAGAGGGGGGGCCGAAGGCCCCCGCCAGGGCGAGGCGACGGGCCTCCTGCGAGGCCCCTCTGAGGCTTCTGAGAGGCCGCCTCCGCCCTCGGGGAGGGCCTGGACAGCCAAGCTGTGCACCAGCTGGCCTCCAAGCGCCGTCGAAGCCATGTGTGAAGGGGCCCTGGGACACACAGATAAATACACACAAATAAAAGGATTCCCCATATTTTCCAATATTTTCTGGGTTTCTGTTTGCACCCCCCACTTCCCATGTTTACCAATCTTTTCTGGGGAATCGACGATTGATTGTGTCTATGTGTTTTTTCCCCCTCCTGAATGTTGAAAAGCAGCGCGCGTGGAGGCAGCATAGCCAAGCTTTCGGAGCTCCACGCGGCGCTCTCGGATGGGCGCCGGCGCCCCCCCTGGCGGCCCCTCCGGCAACGCCCCTGGCCGATCCCCGAGAAAACAAGAACCGCCCCTGGCCGATCCCGGGAAAACAAACAGCGCCCCCTGGCCGATAGACAACTTCTCGAGAACCCGGGGGCCATCCGAGCCTTCTGAGAGGGCCCGCCCCTTCTGACGTCTCCCCCCCCCTCTTGGGCCTCGCCTCCACGCCTCCAAGCCGCCCGGGAGCTCGAGCTGCGCTGCACCTTTTCTGCTGTGCAGTGCAGTTGTTCGGAGGCAAGGGGGGGGGGTGAGGCGAGGGGGCACCCATCCGCCAGCACTGCGGATCGAATCGCGGCGCTGCCACTGCCCACGTGCGGCAGAGCCAGACAACAGGAGGACCGATGAGAAAGGAAGAGGCATGGTGAGGAGGTGGGTTGAGCTCACGAGCGGCGAACATTTCCGTATCCGCGACTTCGAGGTCTGGATTCCAGGGCGCGATCCCGCGGATATCCAGTCGCACAGATACGTTCCGCGCGGAGCATCTGCGACAAAAACGCCCCATATCCGCCGAGTCGCGGCCCTGGGGCCCAGCCCGCGAGGCCGCGGAGACGGCGGGCTTGTGTCGTGTCGACCCCGGCATTGCCTTCTGACACCGCGGGGACCGCTCAACATTGAAAGAACGGCCGCTTCCGAAACGTCACATCGTTCATCATCGACCAATTCTGGGTCGCCGGCGGCGCTCGCCGCTGAACGCCGGCGGCGGGGTCGCCGCCGGTCGACACGAGCCCAGACATGCGACGTCCTGACTTTTGCAGAACGGCGTCCCTGGATGTCCCGACCCTTTCCCGTTTCTCGTCCTGAGTCTCGGGGATGGACAGACCCCCCTTTAGTAAAACGTGGTTTAGTGAAAACGACCTGAGGCCCAAACCTGGCGGGCGCAAGCCTGGAAAATAACGGCCACGGCGCCCTCTCGAGAACCGAAAACGGGCAATTCACTAATCGACGTGTCACTGTTGGGGGTTCTGTCCACCCCCGAGTTTCTCGTCCTGAGTCGTTTTTCGGCGGTCCCGAGGTCCGGCGAGGGCCCCCCCGGGGCCGAAGATGGCCCAAAGACCTCCTGCCCATACCTGCTTTTTGCGACGCGGTCGTGCCTGGGAGGCGAGCCTGCGGAAGTGTTGGTCGCCCACGAGGGGAGCAGCAGGCGGGACCCGCCCCCTGCCGCCGTCTGCTGGGCATCGCGTCGCACCCTCCAGAGGGGGGGGGGGGTAGGGGGGGGGGGGCGGCAAGCACGCCGAGTGGGCGCGGGGAGGCCACCGAGGGGCGCGGGGGTCACGATCACCTTCGCCCCGAGCATCCGCATGACCTGAAGGTGGAGCAGCGCGCGCCAGGAGCAACGCAAACGAGAGTGCAGGAGACGGTGCTGCACCCGAGCCGGCACGGACGACTCCCGGCGCCGAAGGCCACAAGCCTGGTCTCTCTCTCTTTTCAGAGGCACTGCACCCATTGGGACTGGCAGGGAACATCTCTTCATCCCTCTCTTCCGCTCCCTTCATCTCTCTCTCTCTCTGTCTCCTCTCTCTCCCCCTCCTTCTGCCTCACTGTCCCCTCGCCTATAGTACCTTGTTATTTGCCTACGTGCTCGTATATCCCCCCCAGTGTTTTGTTTACATGTGTTTTCTTTCTCTCTCTCTTTCTCTCTTTCCCGCCCCCCCTCTCTCTCTCTCTCTTTCCCCTTCTGCCCATCTCTATCACTATCTTCCTCGCTCTCTCTCTCTCTCCCTCTCTCTCTCTCCCTCTTTCTCTCTCCCTCTCTGTCTCTCCCCGCTGTCCTTCATCCCCCAGGGTCACTCCAGACACGCGTCCGCGTGGCAACAAATCAGGCTGGTCCTTCCGTCGCTCGACGGAGAAGGACGCCGCCATGGTTGAGACGAAGTTGTAGCCTCGCTGCGCGCAGACCTGGACGGTTGAGGCCAGCGAAGGGAAGGACGGACGGCTGGGAATGTGAGGCAGCGGGGACAAAGCGTGAACACAAGGTGAAATGCGGATCCAATCCGAAGCACAGCCCTCGCTCGACCTCGCAGGTGTTGCTCCGCGCGCCCGCACACACCCCGGTGGCTTGACAGGGCCACCAGCAACAGACCGTAGTAAAAGCTGCATCCGAGGCGAGGCATCGTTCAATAGCTTGGCTCTGTCCGAGGCCCTCCATCACGCCACCTGCCTACCTCCCCATTCCTCCTCGATCCTCTCATCACTAATTGCTCCAGTCACCTCCTCATCCTCCTCCTCCTCATCCTCCTCCTCCTCCTCCTGCCCTTCCTACCTCGCACTATCCCCCCCCCCGCACACACTCCTCCACCCATCACCAAGCGCTTCACCCCTTCTATGTCCTTCCTCCTCTCTCTCCTCCACTCTCCACACGTCCTCCTCCTCCTCCTCCTCCAACATATATCCGAACGGTTGTCTCCCCAGGGGAGACTTTGTGGCGGGGACCAAGGGGGGACACTGTGACATGATACTTGAGTCGGGCGTGTCCACCTACAGGGGGATTTTCGACAAAACATGAAAAAACTCCCAAATGGTCAGCAACAAATTCGAAAAACAGATCCCTGTACTATTTTCTACGATGTCTGAATCTTCCTCCTGTAGAGGGACGGGCCCGACTTGAGAACAGGCGGACGGCCTCAACTCCGCGACGCACCAATCGGGGAGGCTGCTGCGCGGCAGAGCCACTGCAAGGCGCCCGCCGAGGGCCGCGAGCCGCACGCGGAGCGTGGCGGGAAGCCTCGGGAACTCCACGGAAACTGCGAGACCATCGGCGGGAAGCCCACGGAAAAGCAGCGGGAGCCCCACGGGAACATCGAGGACCATCGGCGGGAAGCGTCGGTTCCCCAGCATCGGGAACCCCCGCGGGAAGCATCGAGGAACCCAAGCGGGAACCCCCGCGGGGGAAGCATCGGGAACCCCACGGGAGACCTGCGGGACGGGAAAGCGACCACAGCCACTGCTTCTTGTCTCCGCCGCCTTCCAGCCGGCCGAAAAAGACGCAGTGGCTGTGGTCATCTCCCTGGTCCCAAGCTCCACGAAAATGACCACAACCACTGCTTTGTTTCTGCGGGCTGGAGGGCGGCAAAAGAAAAGCAGTGGCTGTGGTCGTTTTCACGCCCCGTAAGTCGGGGATCTTCTGACCCGGGTCAATCCAGATACGGGTCGGCAGGAAACCAACAAATCTGCAATGCAGGAAAACGAAAACTGCAACGCAGGTCCTCGCAAACCCGGGCCAGCCAATAGGCGCGGCCGCCTCGTGGCCACGAGCGGCTCGCTGACCCGGGTCAGCCGGAGGGGGTCTTCGCAGGATCCTGCAGGATCTGGTGCCCTGGCGGACCCCCGTCTGCACTGACCCCCGCCTCGAGGCTCCCGAGTAAGCTCGAGGCTCCCGAGCACACGGCGGTCCCTCGCTGAATTCCACAGGGCCCGGGGAGATCCACGGGCAGCATTGCCCCGAGAGCCAGGCGGCGGCTCTGCGGGCCCAGGCCTGCGACGCCCTGCCTCCTTGCAGGCCGGCGCCCCTGGAAGCCCCGACCCGCTCCCGGGGACCGGCCCTTCGTCCGGAGTCCTTCTCTTATGTCGGGCGTGTCCCCTTCCCTACAGGGGGATTTTCGACGAAACCAACAAACAAAACACCAAACATACCCCAAGAAGGTGAACAAAAATCCTCAAACAATCCCCAGACTATTTTTGGATTACTGTTTGATCATTTGGGGCTTTTTTTTTTTTTTTTTTCATTTTTCGCAGAAAATCCCCCTGCAGGGGGACAGGCCCGACTTAATCCTTTTCTGCCGGTCCCAAGGCCCGGCGAGGGCCCCCCGGGGCCGAAAATAGCCAGAAACCTCCCGTCCTCATTTTTCCACGAAGCGATCATGTCTGGGACGAAAACTGAACCATCGAACTCCCGGACGTCGTCAGAAAGAGTCGGCAAACCCGCAGTCTTACATGTCCCAGGTTTCTCTGTACACCCCGCCCCGCTAACTAAATGTTCCTCTATGCGTGCTCCTCTCTGCTCGAATGGCACAGGCGAAGCCAGGACGTACAGTTAAGTCGGGCGTGTCCCCCTACAGGGGGATTTTCGACGAAAAATCGAAAATACTCAAAAAAAATATACAAACAAGGTAAAAACAACACATACTCCAAAATAATCCCCAGACTAGTTTTGGACTATCTTTTGATTCTTGTTGGGGTATCCTTTATTCTTCGTCGAAAATCCCCCTTTAGGGGGACACGCCCGACATAAACGTACAGACGTACACGTAGCACAATTAAAACGTATATAGTAAGGACGCGTTGTAAGGACGCAGGACCCTTGGAGGCTGAAGTTGGGATTTTTGTTTTGGGCGGCGGCGACAAGTGAAAACGGCAAAGGACGGGCCACAGAGGCAAGGACGCAGGGGTATCCTAGATGAAGGCGCGCGTCCTTACTAGGCGCGTTGACTGTAACGGTTGGGCACGTCTGCCTTCCACGGTGTCGTGGCGGCGGCCCCGGCGGCACGCGCCATATGCATTTGCGACGGCGGCGGAGTGCGTCGCGACGCGGAATAAAATTGTCAAGGCGGAGGGGGCACGGGGCGGAGCCCCCACTGGGGCGCTGGAGACGCGGGGACAGAGGTGGGGGAGGTGGTGTGCGTCGCGACGCGGAATAAAGTGTTCGGAGCGGAGGGGGCAGTGGGCGGGGCTCCCGCTGGGGCGCTGGGGGCGCGGGGGGGCTCGGTGCATAGAGCCACGGCGCCAGGGTCCCACTTTGGCGCTGGGGCCGCGGGGAGGGGGGGGGGGGCACGCGGAATAAAGCGTTCGTGGCGGAGGGGGCAGTGGGCGGGGTCCCGCTGGGGCGCTGAGGACGCGGGGGGGCTCGGGGCAGAGATCCACGGCGCGGGGGTCCCACTCTGGCGCTGGGGGCGCGGAGGGGGGAGAGGGGAGGGGTACGACGCGGAATAAAGCGTTCGTGGCGGAGGGGGCAGTGGGCGGGGCCCCCACTGGGGCGCTGGGGGCGCGGGGGGGGTTCGAGGCAGAGAACCACGGCCCGGGGGTCCCACTCTGGCGCGGGCGGCGACGCGGGGGAGGGGGGCGACGCGGAATAAAGTGTTCGGAGCTCTAGAAACTCTGCGCAAGAGAGTAAAGCCGTCTCCTGTTGGTTGCGCCATAGGTTGCCCCCTCGGCCGCCGAGAATAAAACCGTCGCGTACAGGGTGCGACCAGTCAGTGGTCAGCCAGTCAGTCAGTCAGTCAGTCAGCCCGTCCGAGTTTACTTCGCGAGCAACAAATTCGGGCTACGCCCGAAAACAACAAAAAAAATCCCAATCACCCACCACCTCAAACCTCTCCCGCTTCCTGAATGCCGGAACCAATACTGTGCCACCTCAGAACCTCAGCTGGCTCCAAACGCCCGATGTTTGTGTGTACCATGGACTCTTGCTCTAGGGGAGCGAAGATTGTCATACCGTAGCATTTTTCCCGTAGCATTAATACATCTTTTTGAATTTATGTAATGTAACTGCATAATATTACTGTAATGACTCAAGGTAAACTGAAAACAGGAACTCAAAATAAGCAAACAGATATGTAAATGCAACAGAACAAAGCAGTGAAGGACAGGAGAACATAATCAGATGACACTTCAGTCAATAAGCATCACTACAAAACGATGAGGTAAACACAAAACGCCGGAGGTCCGCGCGGATTTCTCGGATTGGCGCTGGACCCCCCCCTCCCTGGCGCGCGGTGAGCGCCAAGGGCGGCGCCTCCGGCGTCGCCAGGGGGGTCCAGCGCGGATCCGAGAAATCCGCGCGGACCTCCGAGTTTTTAGATTTACATGTAATGCTTCGTCTCCCTATGCTCGTGCGATTTAGCGCGCGGCCCCACGGGCGGCCATGGCGAGCGCGATGCCGGTGTTGCCGCTCGTGGCCTCGGGCGGGAGGGCCGACGCGCACGCGAGCGCAGGGGCATGCCGCCACTTTGTGCGGCGGCGCGTGGAGGGGGGAAATAACCCAGGCGTGCTCCTCCTCCTCCTCCGCCTCCTCCTCCTCCTCCTCCTCCTCCTCTTGTTCTTCTTCTTCATCGTCTTCTTCTTATCATTTTTCTTATTCTTGTTCTTCGTATTGTTCGTTTTCGTCCTTCTCCTCCTCCTCCTCCTCCTCCTCCTCCTCCTCCTCCTCCTGCACCCTTGAAACAACAAAACATGGAATCCTGGTTCACAGCAAGAGCATTCGCTCGCTTTCGGGCCGTGGGTCCCTCACATATCGATCTGGTTGAACAATGACGCAGGGAGATCTGGTCTGGCCTCCAATGAGGACTTCTTGCGATAGCACATCTTGCTTGCGCGTCGGATCTCACGGGAGGTGTTGGGCCACGTTCTGCCTCTGAAGGCTCTGACGGGCCCCGGGACCGTAAGAAAACGACGCGGGATGAAACACCAGCCCAATGGTGTCGAGGACTTCCAGGGACCGCGCATTGAGCAAAACCAAGTTATCGCATGTCTGGGGCAGGCCTTCTCAGAAAGCGGCGGGGCTTCTGAGAGGCCCGCCGGCCGTCTTAAATGCTCCTTATGACACCCTGTGGCTTCGGAGAAGGCGGCCTTTCGTAGAACGCTTCTCACAAAGCCGGAAGCCTGCTGAGCCTTCTTCTGAAGCAGCCCTCCGCATCTGCCTTCCCCTCGGGGGCAACAAGAAGGGGAACCAGCTCAGCGGGGTAACCATCGACCTGGAATCGGCCAGACCTCCCCGATCGATCGGCGATCGGCCCCCGACTGCGCATCCGCACGGTCCTGGGCGGGGCGGGCTGTCTGGCGCCTATCGGCGAGGTGTGGGCGAGTGCGGGTCGATGCATCCCCTTCCCCCCCCCCCCAAGCCCATCCCCTCCCCAACCGCTACAGGGCAGTTTTGAATACATAAGATTTTTCCCTACCTAGGCTCTGCCTCGAAGGGTTCTGACTCTCTGGGCTTAAAGGGGCCGGGCAGTGGGGCTCGCCCTGGGCGGTTCCCCCGGTATCCGCCCCGCGGTTCCCCCAGCTACGTCCCCTTAGCTTAGCGTTGCTTATCTCATCTTAGCTTAGCTTATTTCATCTTCGCTTAGCTTAGCTTCATATTAGCTCAGGTTTATCTTAGCTTAGCTTACCTTCATCTTAGCTTCGGTCAGCTTTAGCATCGCAGAGCACAGCATAGCATAGCGTAGTCTCATCTTAGCTTAGCTTTGCCTAGCCTAGCTTAACTTCGCTTAGCCAAGCTTAGCGTAGCTTAGCTTAGCTGAGCTTAGCTTAGCTTAGCTGAGCTGAGCTTCGCTTATATCATCTTGGCTTAGCTTAGCTTGGCTTAGCTTAGCCCAGCCTAGCCTAGCTTAGCTTAGCTTAGCATAGCTAAGCTTACCTCAGCGCAGCACTAGCGCAGCGCAGCAAAATATAGCATCGCCAAGCATAGCATAGCATACCATAGCTCAACATAGCATAGCATAGCATAACACAGCGCAGCCGAGCGTACCCTAGCACAACATAGCATAGCATAGCGCGGCATAGCGCAGCATAGCATAGCAAAGCACACCCAGTGAGCGAATGCGAAAACATGCATGTGTGTGTGTCTGTACGCAGGCAAAGCAAACACACAATCAAGCAAACTCAAAAACAATGGCAAAGCAAAAGCAACAGCAAAAGCAAGAGCAAAGGCAAATGCAAAAGCAAAGGCAAGAGCAACAGCAAAGGCAATGCAAAGCAAAAGCAAAACCAATGCGAAAGTGTAGATGTAGATGTAGGTGTAGGTGTAGATGTGGATGTAGGTGTAGATGTAGATGTAGGTGTAGATGTAGGCGTAGATGTAGATGTGAGTCTCGCTGTTGATGTTGATGTAGATGTCGATGCAGGTGTAGATGTAAATGTAGCTGTGGGTGTAGATGTAGATGTTGCTTTCCTAACTGCTCCAACTCCTGGGTAGGGCCACCCTGGGATGATTAAAAATATGGGATTTGTAATACTTGACGAACTTATGCATAAATTTGTGCATGAACTCATCGTTGTTTTTAGTACTAAATCCCTGCATTTTGAATACATGATCCGCACGCGGAGCATGCATTAAAAACGGCACTGTACCCTCCCTGGGCGCGCCGCCGACTTGGCGGTGGTGGGCTGGTCGGCAGAAGGCCCCGCGGGCGTCTCGGCCGTCACCGGCGCGGGCCTCCCCTCGTCGCGAAGGCATCCCAGCGGGAGTCTCCTCGGCCCTCGCGAGGGCCGTCGCAGGGCCCCGGGGCCGAGCGGAGACGGCTCGGCGTGAAACACCGGGCCATGGTGCAGCAGTCCAGACTGCTGGGGGTCCACGCGGTGAAGAACAAACTACGGGGATGGCCTTGGGTACGGAATTCTGATTTTTTATTAGGCAGCATAGAGGGCCGTTTCACGATGTTTGAACTCGCTCGCCAGTGAAAAGATTCCTTGATACTCAGCTCTACTCGCAATCGCGTCGCTGTCACGCCCCAGAGCGTGGTCCCTGAAACGGGTAGAAAAACCCTTGGATACGGAATCATTGGATAAGGAATCCAGGGTCTGGAAGCTGGTGGAACACCAATCTTGATTGGCCGTGGATATCACTGCCGACCTCATCCGATAAGGAATCCTCCAGGGTCTGAAGCCTCCTGGGCACATTCATGAAGGAACGCCCCCACCGTACGTAGCACCCCGCAATCGCGGATACGAGTGAGGGGGCGGCGGCGGCGTCGGCAGTCTGCGGGGCTCTGAAGAAACCCGCCGCAAGTGCCGATTTTTCGTTAAAGCCATGTGAGTGGGTCGCGGGTGGGGTCGCGGGTGGGTCGCGGGTGGGTCGCGGGTGGGTCGCGGGCGTGTCGCGGGGTGGGTCGCGGGCGTGTCGCGGGGTGGGTCGCGGGCGTGTCGCGGGGTTGGTCGCGGGCGTGTCGCGGGGTGGGTCGCGGGTGGGAAGCGGGCGTGTCGCGGGGTGGGTCGCGGGTGGATCGCAGGCCGGGTCGCGGGGGAGACGATGGCAAACAACAGCAACAAACAAAAGCAAAGAACAACACCAACAATAACAGCAACGACAAAAACAACAACAACAACCGCAACACCAACAACAACAACAACAACAACAACAACAACAACAACACCATCCAACCGTCACCAGTCAGCATGCAACAACAACACCAACAACAACCACAACAACAACAACGACAACACCAACACCAACAACAACAACAACAACAACAACAACAACAGCAACAACAACAACAACAGCAACAACACCAACAACAACAACAACAACCGCAACAACAACAGCAACAGCAACAGCAACAACAACACCAACAACTACAATGCAAGGACAACCTCTCAGGCCACCCTGGCGGGGCCCGTGGTGGTGTCCTCGCCCACGGGGCGAGCGCACTCCCCCAGGCCACACGATGCAGTTGTTGCCCCGGGGGGGGGGAGCAACGCGCAACACCTCTGTCATACGCTGACGTAAATCTATATGTGTTTCCGAATCTCCTTGGCCCCCCTTACTGTTCCCCACGCACTCCTGTGTCCGAAAACCGACCGCGCGCCAGCGAGGCCAGCTCCTCCTCCCTATAGGACTCCTATGGAGTCCTGCAGGGCCCTGTAAGGATCCTATCGGGTTCCTATAGGGTTCCTATGGGATCCTGTAATCCAAATAGAATCTTAAAAAAAAAAAAGAAGCAGAAAGTACTACAAAAAAAAAAAAATAAAAAAAAAAATAGAAAGAAGAAAAAATAAATAAAAGGATCCTATAGGATTCCCATAGGAATCCTACGGAATCCTGTAGGACCCTGTAGGGACCCCATCGGATTCCAATAGTATTGCAATCGGATGCCTATGGAATCGTGTAGGGCCCTGTAGGGATCCAATAGGGCCCCCCTCGGATTCCTATAGGGTTGCTATGGGATCCTGTAGGATCCTATAGGATTC